CTCTCTTTCCCACTCTCACACTCTCTCACTTATACTCTCGTCGAATATGTGCAAATTAGCATATCAAATGCCATAAATGGCGCTAAGGCTAAGACATCTGTGTGTGTGTGTGCGCGCGCTGTGCTCTCTGTGTGCGTGCATATTCTATTGTTACTCATACGCCGCGTTGCACGAGCGAATGAGCGCACGAAGGGCGGTGCGAGATTGACACGGGGGAGGGTGTGGGGCTAGAAGGGGGGAGGGTGCAAGGGGGCTCTTGACGTGGCCAGCAGCCTGCAGCTGTGTGAGTGTGATTTAGTTGCATGCGATAATGTCAACCACAGAGCGAGCCTTTCAAGCTCAACGAGAAGACTTTTATTTCGCTGCTTGGGTTGGCTCGCCTTGCGTGTCCTGCATTGGTGGCACATGTATGTGTGCAGTGTGTGTGTGTGCGTGTTCTTGTGTGCCGGAGACCTTTTTCGGTGGTGGTGCAGCGCTGCCGCTACAATCGCAAGTGAAACTGCTGGACGCCAACTTGGCTCTTCAGTGTTAATTCGTCGACACGTGGCGCTACTTTCCGCTGAGAAGTAAAAACGTTAAGATCTTGGCCGAATTCCTGGATTTCGGGGATTCCCGTGCGTTTATCCTTCGGCCTTCACTTCCTCGTGCTCTCTGTGTTGTTGTGCCGCACTTTCGACTTTGTTTTCCTGCCTCTTCGGGTCGCGAGTTTTGTTGTGCGGAAGAAATAAAAATTCGATACAACCCAAAGTGGGCCATTCGGGCGTTATCCTGCCTGCTTGCAAGTGTCTGTGTGAGCGACTGCATTACGAAGAGTCGAAGAGAGAGAGAGACTGTGAGTAAGTGAGTAGAGGGAGTCCTTCCAACTACAGCATGCTCTGCATGCCGCTCTCTTTATTGTGCTTCATGTTTTGGCCTCTGACCTTGTTTACATTTTTTTCTGTGTTGCCATAAGGGAAAACAGCGGCTTGAGAGAGAGCGCATGTGTGCCGGAAAGCAGATCCTTAAGAATTGATCAACAAGGAACTAGAGATTTTCAAGAGACTGTTAAGGAAATTATGGATTCCGTTGTTGTCAGCAGAAATTGCAGAATTGTTGTATTATTAAACAAAAATTATTGATAACGTGCTATAAGGAATGAACAGTAATGAACTGAATCTAACCGATATTAATTGACGATTTTACTACTGATTGGAAAGAGAATTTACTCTTTCCAATAGAATTTACTCTTTCCAAAAGAATCATTGATTTTTTTAACCAATATTTAAACTGAATCAAATACTCATACTTATTTTGTTTTGTAACTTTAAGCAAGTGTCTGACTTTAAATATATTTAAAAGAGATATTTCGGCAAATTAAGTTTTACAATTCCTGGAGAAAACTCAAACCCAAACTAAACCCAAAGTGATAAAGAAGAAATTCCTTTTAAAAACCAATCTAACACTCGAATGGATTTGAATTCATTTAGTTTTAGACCTTTTGAGAGCCTTACTCATATGATGATGGTTCAATGGAATTCGAAAGGAATTTGTAATTTTAAACTCATTTCTAATGCATTTATAATCAGCCAGGGATTACACATTTAAACGCCAGATTTAAATCACAACCCCTCAGAAAAACAGTCAGAGACCCGCCCACATAATTTATGTAAAAACTTTATAATCCAGGAGAGTTTTTTTGTTGTTGCAATGGTGCTTCATTAATTTATGAATATCAAATTGCATTTTGACATTTGCCGGCAAAAACTATTTAAAACTAGTTTCGCTTCGTTGTCTCCGGGGTGAGCTTGGTTCACAATAGCCACGGTCCCGTGTCCCATGTTCAAGGACCATTTTCCTAGCCCCCCCCAACTATCAGAGGTCCTTTCTTCGCCTCGGCCAGTACCTCTGCCATTGGCGATTCAGTTTGATTGAAGCACCCGCATGTACAGAGCATTTTAAATATTTACAAAGATATTTCAAAAAACGCTTTTGGCATGTTTTGTTTTTGTTTGGCTCTGCGCACCCCCTTCCGCCTCTTCACCCCTCCACCTACCATTTCCCTTGTAATTGTTGTTGTTATCGCTGTTGTTTTTGTTGCTCTTGTTGGCGTGTCCAAAGGTCCGCAGAGTTTTCCCCCAGTTGGTCGAGTGTTTTGCTCATTTTTTGCAAGAGGGAAAAAAGGGAAAACGAACTTCAAATGTGGCATGAGGGCGGTCCTCGGCTGTGTGTGAGTGTGTGTCTGTGTGTGCATGTGGGCGGGGCACTTGAGAGCGCGTGTGTCCTTTTAGGAAAGTGTCAAAAACCGTTGGTCAAAAAACCGTATGGCAATTATTCAACACAATTGAATATGAAGTGTGGCAGCGGCAAAGGGACGAGAGCCTGCTTGGGCAAAAAAGTTGCAGCGCTGGGCAAATAATGAAAAATACACCCACATCAGTATTTTTCGGCTGTCTGCACTCGAACACACTCACAGGAACACACACACCCCGGCCGGACCAACACTTTTGCACCCTTTTCATGTCCTCGTTCGTCCTCGCTAGCTGCTGTTGTTGCGCAGTTGCTGCCGCCTGGCAATTTTTCGGTGATAAAATATTTAAATTTAATTAAGGCCACCAACGAGCAACACGATTTTCCAGCCAGTGCCAAAGGGAAGATGAAGTGGACCCGGCAGCAACAGCAAAAGCAACAGCAACGCGAGCTGTACTGGCCAGTGGACCTTTGACCCTGCATTCCCCTTCTACAGGCTATAAGAGAGGGGTGGGTCCTTTTTGAGTCCTTTGCATTTGCGTGCGGTGCTGAGCGGTGCTGTGCGGTGAGATGAGGTGAGGTGCGTTTTGGAGGCTTACGGCTGCCCGGCAAGAAATTCATTAAAAATTTTTGCTTTGATGCTAGCAAATTCTTTTTGTAAGTTTCTTTGTACTTTGGGGCGCCCAGAACGGCAAACGAATGTATCGCACAGACAACAGGAAACATACATACTTTCAAAAGGACCTCGGCGGTCTCTGTGTGTCCTTGCCAGTGATTATTTTTCGTACTAAAACCCCTTGTCGGTTTTGTAATTAAGCTCTCGCAGAGCCACACAAAAGTTCCATGCACGCGTATCTTGTACTTATTCAATACTCGGAAATACACCAACAATTCAAATTGAACACGGTTGCAGCTGCAAACTGCTTTACTGAATTTTCTAGTCAAAAATGGCAACTTTGCCCTGGCTGGATGGCAAAGAGTCGGAAAGTTGCTGTCTTGGCCATCTAAGCCGAAAAACTAAACTATCCTGTGCTGTCTGCTCGTGGCTCTGCCACCAAAAACTTTTGATCTTGAGTTGTGCAAATATTTTTCATTATGCGGCCCAAGTATTTATGGAATTATGGAAATTTGTTTTGAAGAGATATTTGCTTACATTGCTTTTGCCAGAGTCCAGAGGAGGTGCATTCTAAGAGATTCACAAGCTCTTTCATGGCCATAATCTCAGTTCGGGGTCATAAGTTTACATTACTAATTATTTCAGTTTCTCTGTTTGTTATTTAAGGCAAAGGAAAAGTTCAAAGGCATTTCTAGGATAATTTCTTAATCAATTTGGTTTACTAAAAAATACAAACATTTAAACGCACAGAAAAGAGCTGTAATGAGCTTAAGAAGTGTTCAAACCTAAATGATCACTTCTGCCATCCACAAATTTCCAATTTGTCAAACATAAAAGTCATATAGCAAGCAAACTTTTCCTCAAAACCTGATATTGAAAGGCTCCTGAAACAATCTGTGTATTCACTTTTCACCGAAACTTCATACTTGGAACCCCCCAGTCAAGTATCAGATTGACCCCAGGATCTTGATTGATTCTGTAGGTATTTTGTAAAATGAGGCTTTCTGCCCAAGAGGCAGTCTGACAATTAGGCAAGGCCAATACACAGCTCTTCAAGACCAGAAATTTTTGGCCAGTAGCATTTGCTACAACGGCTGGACACACGTGCACCTGTTTTGTCACATCTAAAATTCTATTGTTTGGCCTGGCCTGGCCTGCTGTTCCTGCAAGGATTCGTTTCGTTCCTGCCCCAAAAATGCGTTCCAAGGACAGCTGGACGCAGGCGGAGTCAACAATGGACTGTGTGGACAGAGGCATGCAAATTGGCTTGAAAGGAGAATGGAAAACGGGAACAGGCCGGGGCCAATTTTTCTTGCATTTGCCTTGGAGAGCGGCTGATGATTTGAGTTTTTCCGGGTCTGTTGGTGTTATTACTCTTGCCTCGGCTGCTGGTGCTGCTTCTCGTGTTGTTTGTCCAAGTTGCCATTTCAAGCGTGCTGCAATGAAAAGCAAACTTTTCCACCGCACACGCAGCAGCAGCAGCAGCACCCGGGTTTCAGGGGTCATAGGTTAGGGTTAGGCTGCAGAGCTCGACGGGAGCACACGAAATTAAAATGCACTCAGCTGAAAAATTGGTTTTCTCGTTCTTGACAAACTTTGAGTGATTTCCGAAAGCCTCTAACGAGTGCCAGCCCATCGAGGGCGAATCGTGGTCGATGGTGAGCAACAGGCCCCCCATAACAGCAACGAGCACCGGAAATTCCGACCAGGAACCAGATACCTTTGGAAACGCGTCTCCTCTTGACTTTGTTTACGCAAAATTTGTTTTAATAAGGCGGCTCGTTTTAATCAAGCGTACCGAAAATAACTCATGAATTATAAGAAGCCAAAAGGAAGCAAATACCGGGCCAAGGGAAATGATAACAAGAAGCCTGACTAATTATAAATAATTTATTTTGTATTTAAAGCCAGCTTCGGTTGGGTTTTTACAGAAGAGTATATATATTTTAGGTTGTTATTGTTTTATGCCAAGGCTTATTTATGATACTAAAAAAATCATTATTAAAGAACATTAAATCCTTAAAAAATTACAATAAAATAAGAAAGGAAAATAACTTTAGGAAGCCAAAGTTAATAGACTCTGGCAGTGTGCTATTGAATTTTAGGATAAAATCGAAAATCGATCATAGCTAAGCTTTAAATATTTGTATGCTTTTGATTGATATATATAAATAAAATAGTATAAATTAATGTACCCTTTCCGATATTATAATCCCAAAAAATTTATTGTTTCTGTTGCAGATACACTGAGCTAAGCGTGGCTAAGTTGCGACCAAGATAGCGAACCTGTCGAAAGGACTTTCGGCCGGTCCCGCCGGGGGACTAGGCTTCGTTGGCATCCTGCCCTGCTCGATCCAGTGGCAACCGCCGGGTAAGGCGCCCAAGCTGCTGAGCTGCTCCACCGGCGCACGCTCCAGCTCCCAGCCATATCCAATGCCCGCCTCCGTCTCCTCAAATAGCAACAGCAATGACAGCAGCAATGGCCACGGTTGCTGCCAGGACTGTGCATGTTGCAAGCAGGCCTACGAGCATTTGCCAGTGCCACGCTTGCGACATCAACAACCGCCTCCCCCGCTGTACCACTCACCGAAGCAACATCAGCAGCAGCTGCAGCAGCAGCAACAGGTTAGCTGCATCACGACTCTGCAGCAGACAACAACGACACAGCAGCTGCCACAGATTCCGACAGGAACAACCTCGAACTATTGCCTCATGCCGACAACGACAACCTCTAATACGTACGTGAGCAATGTGAAGCCGGAGCAACTACGGCAACATTGTCATTCGCACTGCGATGGACACAACACCAATATGCAATCCTTTGGCAGCAGCAGCAACATGACACCTGCGGTATACCAGAGTTCACCTGCGGTCTACCAGACTTCAGCTGCTCAGTCGATGATCTTCGTTCCGTTCATGTTGCCCATGCAGCAGCAGCAGCATCAGCAACATTTGCAGCAGCAACCGCCTTTGCCGCCATCGGAGGATTGCAAACCATTGTTGCGGCCCAAAAGCGTTCCGCCCCCGCCGCAGCCACCCCCTTTGCTGAGCAATTTTCCACCTCTGCTGCAACCGCCACTTCTCCAGCCACCTGTGGTCTGTCCCCCGCCTGCCGCCCGAACACCTGCAATGCCCATGACGTCACTCGTGCCCACACTGCCACAGCCCACAAGCCGCAGTGTTAGAAGCCTCAAATCCGCAGCTGCGGCAGCCGTCAGCGTTTATCAGCGGGTGAGTACACAGAAAGAAATGATTATGAGGTACAGAAATAAATATAAATTCGAAATTATTGTAAAGAGGGAAGCCATGTATTAATACCTGAATTTCCCAAGATAATGCTAGCCATAAACTTGTAGATTTCCAACATCGATTCAAGGTGGGCTACGTGTGAATTGGGATTATTTGTAGTACATCAGTGGCACTCAGTCAATGGCAGCAAATCCTTTTGGGGCTACTAAAGTGTTGCAATTTGCGAAGCACAACAGCAGCAGGGACAATGCCACGTATACTTAATATTTATGGGTGTGCTGCTGCCAAACTTCAATTTACATAAACATAAAAGACAAGCAACATCGGAGGAACTCTTCACGGAGAATCTGCATGCATGCTGCTGGTGAGATTTAGCGCAGCGACAGGACACAAAAAATCAAAGCTACAAGGATGGGGGGGAAAAATGCAAAGCGGTACGAGCGGAAGTGAAAGCAAAGATAAGGTTGCATACCGGAAGGAGGGAGGTAGAGGGTATGGACACGAGCACGGAAAACTAATGCATAACCTAGTAAGATCATCAACACGAAATTTTACAGCAAACTCATGTCCAAGGATGTGGAAATAAACTAGTTGTTTTTGTTACCCCGGCCGCTGCCACTTTCCCAACTCCTCCTAGTCCTTACCCAACCCTCCTTCACTGTTGTCCTGCGCTCAATGACTTTTGCATTTAATATGAGTAAAGAAGCGCAGGACAACAAGAGAACGAGCAGGACACTGAGAAGAGTGAGTATGGTTTCGTGGAAGGTTTCCCATTTCGAAAGGATGTTTGTCTTAATTAAAACTACCTAGTCTTTTGGTCGTTCTTGGCTACGATCAACACTTATTGTATTAAACAAATGACTTAAAAATCTTAATTTAAAACCGATTTCTCTATGTGTTTTCGGTGAGCAAGGAAATGGCGGTGGGCAAAAAGCTGAGCTGGACTTGAGGATTGGGCTTCGGCCCTTTACGGCGGGCCCTGAGCCCTGGCCAGCGACATGCAAAACGTGCTGTTTAAATTACGTTTCTGCCGGCAGATTTCGGATTTCAGGAGGGGGAATCGACTGCAAGGACATGCTGAGATAGTGTCTGCCGCCGTTCCGCTCCTTCGGCTCCCGCTCCTTGGCCGTGTCCAACGATTCGTTTATTTGATAGCCTTGCCGTTGATGCTTGTGCATACCGGATAAGTTTGTCCTGATTAAGAATCTGCAACACAAAAAAGCTCGGCAGCTGACAGGATAAAGCAAAAAAAAAAAAGTGAAACAGGACGAGAAAGAACGCGAAGTGGACTGGTCACTCGCCGGTAAATGTCTTAATGCAGCGAGGAGGAGTCCGAAGTCGCAACGGATTACAATATAATAAAAATTCATAAGTTTGCCACCGGCAGTTGCCATTTCACAATTTTGATGACAACTGTGCGGCATCCTCGTTTCCCGGCTCGCTTCCTTGAGTGAAATACATTTTACATGCGAAATAAACATAAGCAAAATGCACATCATAGTCCTGCATCCTTAATGCTGTTCATTCACATGTGCTTAAGTAGTTTTATTTAGAAGGAGCCCACACACGGAGCTCACACAGAGGACTCCGGGACTCGGCACATTTGAATGTTAAATCTTTCATGAAATGCCTTTTTTCGACAGTCCGTCTGTCTGTCCGTTTTTCCCCATACCTAATACATCCAGAAAATACTCAGTTGTTTAGTGCTTTTGTGTGAGTGTTGCGGTCTTCCTGCAAACTTAACAATACCTTTTCCTACTGCTCTACCGCCGGCATTCGCTTTCATTTGTTTTTTTGCATTTCCTTCCCCTCAGTTTCTGAAAAACTAAGCGCGCTATCATGCACAAAGAAAGCATTTTATGTGGTGCCTTTAATGTTTGCACTAGCCCCACTGCCATAATGTACTCTCGCCCACACATGGCTGGGTGGAAATATAGATGTCCGACAGGACAAGGGTCGGAATGTGAGCACTGTGAAGAAATATCACTCAATATGTCAATCAATTTGGAGTTTTAGTTTTGTTAATAATAAATATTTCATGATTTTAGCTCAGGAGAGAATTTAATTCCATTTAAAATAATAAAGAAGACAAGCCTTTTTAGAAAGAGAAGACTTAATAACATATACAAAATTTCTATCAGTTTTGTTCTGAATTTCAGTAATTTATTTAGAGTTCAATAGTTGTTGTTAACAGAATGCATTTTCCTGTGTATTTTCCCCCCAACAATGATCTCGGTGTTTGGGTTCCTGCATTATAAAGTTTTCCTATGAGCTGTTGCTCTTGCTGCATTTGGAATCACTTGAAACCAGGAATTGTCTGCTTGTCTCTGGTTGACCCCGCCTTCGGCATTATGCTGGAAAAACAGTTGGTTTCCATCTAATAATTGTTCTGCTCATATTCCATATGTACTTGCGGAGTATCTCAAAGCGGATTTCGGTGTTAGAGCTTTCTTGTTTTATGGTATGTCTGTGTGTGTTTATATTTTCCCCCTGGTTTGGGTAGAAATATATCCGTACATAAGCTGTGAAATATTTCGAGTTGTTTATTTGTGCCGTCGAAACCTTTTACTAAACTCTCAGGCAGTTGCCTAGAAACGAGGGTGTGGTGAGGTGCTGCTAAGTACCTACATTATAAATAGGGAGTACTGCCCACAAAACAATTAATGCCAAATGAATGATAATGAAGCAACCAGTTCCCAGGGTAATGGATATTCATAATTTCTTCAAAGAGGCTTTGAGTAATCCCACAATTAGTATCCGGATATTGAAGTCTGGAAACATTTAAGTTAGCATTTCTATTGCTGAAATTATCATATAGATAAATGTGAAGAATTAAAGTCCCTTGAAACACTATCCTATAAGGAATTTCTGTTTATATTTAAATAGAATACTGTATATTTTTCACACCCCTCACATCTTTCTTAATTACTAGTTATTTTTTTTTTAAAGAAAATGCACCTTAGCCATTCGACACTCTTTGTCGACAAGATGTAGGGCAATGTCAAAGGAAGGAGTCCTCAATGCATTGCCCTTTCGCATGCTCTATTAAAAGGACACAGAAAAGTAAAAATGTAAATAAAAAACAGGAAATGAAACTAATTTTCAGTAGCCGAAGTGTGTACACCCTTATAGTTACACATACGTTCGAATGTGCAATCGAATCTAACATAGCCAAAAGTGAATAAATCCCAATTTGTAAAGCTATAATTAAAATTTAACATCTATATTTTTATATGATAACTTTTCGGTTAAATTATTGATTTCTATATCATAACTAAGCCAAAAATTAATTAATTTCAATTCGGATAACTTTTCTATGCTAGTTTTTGTCAGCTTAACAAATCTGCATATTGAGTTTTAAAATTTAAAAAATGCAAATTTTTTGTAAATTTTTGATAATTCTAACGATGTAACCCCTCATAAAATTTTGAAAAAATTTCGAAATTTTTGTTTTACACCAGACATGTTCAGTTTGATTCAGCTGTTAATGCTGATCAAGAATTTAAATGATTTATGGGGTCGGAAACGACTCCTTCACTGGGTTGCAAGCTTCTGACTGAAAGTACAATACCCTGCAAGGATATAAAAACAGAATCCTTTGGCTGGCAGTAGTGGTGGCCTTAATGGCCCCGATGGGTCGGGAGTGATGCGTAAGTGAATCCATATTTCATATGAAGCGTTAACGGCCAACAAAAAGCAGACACACAAAGTGAACAGCATATTTCGAGGACTGGTAGAATGCGTTGGCTTCATTGGAAGGAATCCAAGCAAAAAGTATCCTCTCCAGTTGTATCTCCGTGCGAGGCTGTCATTATTTCGCTCTCGGCAGTGGGAAACTGAAACAAAACGAAATAATGTGAGTGGCGGAAAGGAGTGGAAGGCCGGGCGTGTCCTTGCTGTTTGCAGCTTAAGCAGAAAAAATTTGATAGCTGCGCTAAAGGATTCGATATCAAAGGACTGCCTTGTGGCCAGCCGTTGACAAGCCAAGGAAACCGTTGACAGCCAAGTGAACAACAGCCAAGCTGGCAAATTGGACAAGCGTTGGACAGGACGGGAAAAGGCAAAAAAGAAAAGGGCCACGCTAAAAACGCACCCAAAAGCGCCAAGCCAAATCAGAACTTGGCCTTAGGGCCAGCAGTTCCATTCGGCGAAGCCAAAAGCAGCCAAGTAAGCCAAGTCCTGGCATTAACAGTCGCACAACTGTGGTGACTTTCTCGTCCTGTAAACGCTTCATTGCTCTCCAGGGGCAGGGGGGACACATCGTCCCCAGCACTATGCTATATAGTACGCCGATCTCACCATGAGCATCTTGGGTCCTTGGCCACACAGCGCTGTTAATTCACTCTGCGGACTGTCCGCGAGGTGGCGCCCCAAAGTGCCAGCCACTGCTGTTGAGTGTCCCGAATTTCACCGCATCTGATTCCATGTCCTTCGTCCTGTAAGTGCAAGTGTGTGCGTGTCTGTGTGTGTGTGTATGCGAGTGCTTCGCGCACTGGCTTACTCAAAGTCTCTTAACCCATTATTCTGCTTGGCAAGCGAGAGTTTTTAGCAGTTGTCAGTAGTTAGCATTTGGAAGTTTTGTTTTAATAAATTCATAATATCTTATGGATGTTTAATTTAGAGGACATATTAATATTTATCTGTAGGATATATTTCTAATTTCAAAGGATATATAATATACTAGTCTTCTTTACAGAAGAACTCAACATATTTTCAGCGATAAACTGTAGAAGTTCTTACATAAAAATATACCTATTTTTTTGATAAACCCAGCTTGACTTTTTCCCTATATAAAATCCTTATACAAACGATTCCATTTTATTGAACTGGAAAAGGTCCTGTGCAATGATTTCTGTTACGGCATCAAGAGCTGTTGCTGCACAAAACGGGTTAATCATCGCCTGGCAGATAAAAAGGGACATTGGCAGCAGGAGCAGCATCGCCTGGCACTTGAAAGCTTTTACCACAATGCCTCTGTATCG